TCTGAACATGCAGCCCAAATTTGATTGTGAACACGCAGCCCACATGGATTGAAAGTTGAACACGCGGCCCAAATTTTAATTTTCTGAAATCTGAACACGCAGCCCAAATTTGATTGTGAACACGCAGCCTACATTTGATTGAAAGTTGAACACGCAGCCCAAATTTTAATTTTCTGAAATCTGAACACGCAACCCAAATTTGATTATGAACACGCAGCCCACATGGATTGAAAGTTGAACACACAGCCCAAACTTTAATTTTCTGAAATCTGAACACACAGCCCAAATTGAAGGTGAACACACAGCCCACACTTTTCATTTACACGCAGCCTATACATCACACTTTGAACACACAGCTCATACATTTCATTTGCACGCAGCCTATACATCATACTTTGAACACACAGCTCATACATTTCACTGGCACACAGCTCGTTCATTTCATTGGCATACAGCTCATTCATTTTATTGGCACACGGCTCATTCATTTTTATACTGACACATGTATTCATTCTGAATACAGGTTGGTTCTCGCGGTGTACGGGGATATGACTCCACCGCTGCGAGGGATTGGTATGTTGAGCTCCCGGAGGCTGTCCGGGATTTAGTAGATTTGGCAGGGTTCGGGGCCTTCTGCGTTGGGTTATCACGTTGTCCTGCCCGGAGGACACTGATGGCGGCTTTGGTGGAGAGATGGTGGGACACCACCAACTCCTTTCATTTCTCTGCCACTGGGGACATGACTATGACCCCTCTGGATTTTGCTGTGTTGACCGGCCTGGACATAGGAGGTTGGTCCATTCCCTATGACGAGGACATGGACGAGTGGGAGGCCGCTTGGACATATCTGCTGGAGGCTCGCCCGCCTGTTGACAGGGTTTTTGGGAGAGTCCGATATACTTAGTTCTCTTCCCACTTCCGGCGGGCAGAGATGGTGCCTGAGACTCCTGAGGAGACGGAACAGTACGCCCGCGGTTTCCTTATGTTCCTCTTCGGGACTACTCTGTTTGCTGAGCTGTTTTTCTTCTTTTTGCTTTGTTCAGACATTTTGTTGCTTTTCCTTTTTTGTTTTACTTTTCTTTTTCTGGTAGTTTGAGCACATTGTACTGCCTCAGACAGGTTTTATTTTCTCAAAACTATGTACTTTTTGCAAAAGAGACATATGATGAAATGAAACGGCTATTTTGTTCAAAAAGTGTTACATTTGTACATTCTATGCATCGCATTACATAACAATGTAAATGAGATTGAACTTTCGTTTTGAAAACCAAGCACTCGAATTGCAATTAATCAGGTAGTGAACCAACTAATGGCAAAATAACACGACAGCTCGACAAACAACTCGATAAGCAAAAACACACAGCGCACTTTACAGTCTGTATTTTGCCCTCAGCACTTTGTATTTACATTCTGCACTGCTTTTCTCAGTTATGGGTCTACGTATATTTCCCGACGTTAGCCCCAGAGTTGGAGGTGGCAGGGCCCCTCACGACCCCGTACTCACTGGTGTTCGAGGGCCAGCACCGGCCGAGGCCCCGGGAGTCTCTCTTTTACCTGCGACAGTATTTTGACACTGTGCGACCATCGGAGGTATTTCAAAACTCTCAGTTCTTTCCATTTTCATCTTTGATTTGCCCCGCATATTCTCGATTTCTGATTGGTTTATGCACTTGTTATCCGCAGATTACATGGCAGCCCTGGGCGCCCTTGGGTGATGGTCTCCGATTTCAGTATGCCGGAGGATCGGGCACCTCCCAGTACAGGGTCCTGCTCGAAGGACCGGTTGGTAGAGCATGTTTTCTGGGGGAACGCTTTTTGCGTCAGGTATGGGGGTACAATTCTCAGGACCCTCCCGCAGCACCCCCAGTCAGTATGCGGACTGCTGATAGGCTCTCTCCCCAGGATGTAGTCTGTGCTATGCTGGGTAGTGATGCTTTGCTACATCTCGAGGAGGGGGATTACACCACTTACCGTCATACATATTTGATGTCTCCATTGACGGGAGTTCGCACCCCGATGACGAAGTCTGCTGGTACGCCATCCTCGAGCCAGGCCCGGGCTCGGGCTGCAGACGCCCCTTCCACCAGCAGGGCTGGTACATCTAGAGGTGGGGGTAGATCGGTTCCCCCAATTCCTCCGACTTATCCTCATCCTGGGTGGCTGGATATGCCGACTGAGCTGATGGGGTGGCAGTATGGGACGACCTCTCCGACTCCGATCCCGCTAGAGCCTCCGATGCCCAGTGATCGATACGCCATTGATCCCGACTCACCACTGGTATGTTCTACTGTTTTTCATCTATCATTCAAACATTTAAACATTCCTTTATTCACTGATGATTATGAGTTCGTATTTGCAGCCACCCCGAGAGTACGTGGAGGAGGTGGTCGGATTGGTGGCCTCACTTGAGGGGATGGTCCTGCGGAGGGAGGCACAGTTGTCTATCATGGGCTTCCAGGTACCCTTCAGTTTTCTGGCATTTATCATACTTCTGATGACATGCTGATTTCTACTGCATTGATAGGCTACTTGTGTAGAGCACATCTGACACACACCTCACTTGTACTCTGTGTTTACATGCACTCATTTCATGTAGTTTTTGCTTGTATCTGCATCTGATGTACATATTTGGACTGATGTATTTGAATTGAACTCTTTATTTTCAAATGCCTCCGGTGTACGCTCAGCCGCAGGCCAGGCCACCTGGGCCTTCTCGGGGAGCTGGGCCATCTGGGCCCTTCCACGGAGCTGGGCCATCCAGGCCTTTTCAGGGAGTTGGGCCATCCAGGCCTTTTCAGGGAGCTGGGCCATCTAGGCCTTTTCAGGGAGCTCGAGGAGGGTCTGCCCGCAGGCGCAGGGCACATGTTATAGAGGCGGAGCCTGATGAGGAGGTCACAGACCGTCAGTCAGAGACATCTGCTGAGGAGGGGGACTCTGGTCTTGGTTCCGGGAGTGGAGACGAGGCTGAGGGGGATCCTGAGGACGACAGCTCCGACCCGAATGATGATGGCGATGGCGATGGTGGCGGAGAGTCTATTCCGCAGAAGAGGACGAAGAGGGCCTCTTATTACTGCTCTTGAGAGCACAGATGTAGCATGTTTCCTATTTTATTTATCTTTTTGCTAGTAGTTGTAGTACATTTGTACATTATCAGGCAGTTTATTTTCTGTAAAACTTGTGCCTTAGTCTGTAAAATGTTGTAACAAACGAGGCATGATGGGATGAAACGGCTTTTAAAAAAAGTATTGTATTTTAAACACTTAGCATCATATCGCATCATTTTGCATCATAATGAGATTGAATGGAAGCGTGTATTATGCATTTTGCCCAGTCAGGTAGTGAACCGACGCAACAACCTAACTTTTTAAGATATAACATAACCTCAGTAAGTTTACAACTCAATAAGCAAAATACAATAGTGTTGACAACGCAAATAACAAGACTTAAACAAAGATTGCTTAAACAGAGAGCAACGACTCAAAAACTCGAAACACGACAGCTCGACAAACAACTTGATAAGCAAAACGACAACTCGATAATCAAAACAACAACTCGATAAATAAAACTCAACAACACAAAGTGTACTCCGGACGATCTGGGCAACGGAACGCATCCGAAACAGAGGGAAATGAAGGCCTTTGACTCTCTCGTTGCATGGAAATGCTCGAAACTTTCCCTCGGAGGGTAAAACAGGGCCAAGGACATACATTGGAGCATGGCCAACCACCTTTGGGAGCCGGCCGGCCAGTTTTATTAGAGAGAAGGGGCCACCGGCCATTTTTGAAAAAGGAGATGGCCAGCCTGCCAGAAAAGGAGGCCGGCCGGCCACTTATCCCTGCAGCTGCCCAATTTTTGACACGTGTCCTCCAGAATAGTGTTTTTCTCTCTTTAAAAGCCTTAGCTCCATGGTTCATTCAATTCACCTCAGTTTTGTATAAAAAATGGAGGCGTTTCTTGTTGAAAACCTCACAGCTTGGATCGCTTCTCTAGATGGTTCTGAAAAGCTGAACTTCCGGGGTTTTGGCTTGAATGCACTATTCACGCTGAGCCGCACTCCGTTGCACCCTCCTTTCCTCTATGCCGCGGCGAGGTTTTGGAACCCGGTGACGCATGTCTTCAGCTTTGGCGGGCAAGAGGTATGTCCGACTTTTGAAGATTTTCAAGTTTTGATGGAATCTGAAAGCCAAGAAGAGATTTTGCCCCAGTTTCGCTTTGGTCACGCCCAAGCTTTGGGACGGATGTGCGGACTCACCGCGCATGATGCTCGACCTCTGATCTGTAATGGGGAACTGGATATCCTCGGCCTAATCCATCGCCTTTCTGACGCCGGTGACCGCATCAACTATTATTGGCAAGGCTTCCGGCAGCACGCCCTTTGTTTGTGCTTGTTGTTTCACTTTCTGCTTTCCTCGGGCTTCGGCGGAGCTAGCATTCGCCTGATCGAAGTCACCCAAGGCTTGAGGGAAGGGAAGAGTTGCATCGCCATGACCCTGGCCGAGACTCTGATGGGCTTGGATGCTTTTCATCGCCGGGAGACGACTAGATTTGCTGGGAGTCCACTGCTGCTGCGGGTAATGTTTCCCACCCCGTCTTACATATGTATTTGCTCACATCACTCGGCCCTTAGGCTCGATTTTTCTCACAAAACCCTCGTCTTACTTTTCTCTCATCGTACATCTCTCTGTTCTTTATTCTCTCATTTTTCATCCCTCCCCAGGTATGGTTAATTGACAAATTACAGATCGTGGACTCTTGCCCGGCCTACTTAGCGCGAGGCTATTTCTTTCGACAACGTCTAGTTGATGCCCTTGATGAAAGGTGGTGGTTTGACTGGATGTGCAATTTGTCTGCAGATCGCATTGCTTGGCGTTGTCCTTGGCTCAATCTCCCGGCAATGAGCTATAGCATGTCCCGGCTGATCGGGATCCAGTTGGTTGGTCTCACCCACTGTGTATTTTACTTTCCGTTCCGGTTCCTGCGCCAGTTCGGTCATGATCAGATTTGCTCACCAGAGGGGATGGAGTACCCGGCTACTTTCCCGGTCCGAGGTGCACGACTTGCGCGATATGCCATAGCATGGAGGACTAGAGAACTCCTGGCCCCTGCTCCCGCTTTCAGTTGCGCTTTGTCGGACGAGTGCTTGGATTGACTCAATGAGGAGGCACAGATTGGGCCTAGCTTGGTATCGGAGGCTTCGACCAGCTCTGGGAGGGGGCGCAGGGATACTTGACTCGACTATGCCCCAGATTTATTGCTTTACTAGTACTTTCAAGTTTTCTTCATGAATGTAATAAAAAAGAAACTTCGATTGTATGCAAGAGCAGGAGAACTTTGTTTTGAAATCAATGAAATTGAAGGTTGTGGTACTGAAAATTTTCGCTTTGGTCCAAAAATGGTCTTGGTTGTGAAGAGATTAATTTGAACAAAGTCAGCTTTTATTAAAACTTTTCAAAACCATTTTCGATATGGATCAGAACCAGACACGCCTAAGATCTGTCACTGAGATGCACAACCCTAGATCCCTGCAACTGGAAAGTTGCCCCTAGTTTGAAGAGCACCGCGGCACTGCGTAGCAACGGAAAGTTGCCCCAAGTCTGAATAGCACTGTACCGGAGATCGCGATAAATGCTGGTGGATAAAGATGACTGAGATGGTCAAAATGGACAAAGTTGATCGGGGAAGGATTTATGGCTGAACTTCAAGGCGAAGCTGCCTACGTATCCCAAAGATGGGAATCAAGCCTTACGTAGTTCAGGCTTAGGTTCGCTCGGGTATTTTCACTCTCCTTTTGCGCTCTAACTTTTGCCAAGGTCGCCCTTTGCGGGTTTTCAACCTTGCAAGCTCAGTTTTTATATTTTTCAATTTTTTGTGCTCTAACTTTTGCCTAGGTCACCCTTTCGGGTTTTCGGCCTAGCGAGCCTCTCAAGGATA